CAATCACAAAGCGTTTCAGCAACTAGCATGTTAGATTAGCCTGAAACAAGTTCGTCAACTTTTCGTCTTTTAAACTGTCAAAATGCACTTTTTCTGTTAAAAATTGTAACGAATCAATTCTGAGTTGCACGGAGTCTGCTACTCCGGTCTCAAAAACGTCTTTCTAGCTATTTAAACAACTCATCCGAACCTTTTCAGAACCGAGCCGGGTCAGAACCGCGTCTGGACCGTCTTTAAACAGAATAGAGCGTTTCCACAACCCAGCTTTTAGTTACCATAACAGGCGTACAATTTCAGCTTTCACAAGACATATGACACTATTTCAGCTTTCATAACATCGCCAGCGTAACACAGCGTAACACAGCGTAAACATGCAGAGCCAAGCTCCAAGCGCGCAGCTCCAGCACGCTGCATAAACATGCAATGTTTTGACTGCTACTTTCCTCATGCCAACATGTAAAATCAATCTTTACACGAATACGCAGTCCATTTATGAGCACGTGACGGGCCACCAAAATGTAGATGAACAGATGCTCAGATATATTCATCAATTAACACGGATTCCTCATTTTTCTGGACTGAATAAAACGTGCATTGAATTTAGTGAAATGCAAACGTGAGACGTCATTTATCTTTGACCCATCAAAATGAATGCGGTCATTTATTTACAGAATCAAAGTTTAACATCAAACATTTACAGTAATTTGGCAAATTATGAAAATAACAACAAAAGCAATCAATCAGGAAAAATCATACGGCCATGATTTTTCCGTTGCTTCACCACAGACATTTATGAAAACTGTACAATTATGATCTTTTTATCCACACGGCGGTGGATGAGCACTTTACACAGACATTTCTAAATTATCTGGAAGAATTTCTACTTGAGAGAAGAATTTAAAGATGGGAAAGAAGTTTAGAGGGAGTAAAAGATGGTGTTTGAGGGAGAGTGTTGACAGAACGGCACTCTCCGGGCTTTCTTCAGCTTCTTCCTTACAGTACACTTAGGTGGTGAAATCGACTCTTTTACCTGGAGATGTCTCAGGCGAGATTCCGTTTAACGCACCCTTTCAGCGTCTCCGTAGGATGCTGTTACTCGTCCGGAGTAGCGGCGAGATTCTGTCCGACACAAGCTCACCTCAGTGAAGATGTTATAATCCCATGAAACTCGGAAGAGCTCTGTGGTCATGTGGTCTTCCCGGTTCCCACAGCCTGCACAGCGCTAGGACATATCAGAACTGTCCGCGCCGCCGAACTTCTCCAACCGAACAGAACCGAACTCAACTCTGCTCAACTCTCACAGAACTCACAGAACCCACAGAACTGTCTAGACCAGGAAGTACCGACATTTTAAAGAGCTCTTTTCCCGGTTCATTCGGGAGTCTTCCCATTGGTCAAAACCGACCAGACGGGGTGTGTTTTGTGACGTAAGAGGTTAGAAGACAGCAAGAATTGTTATGGAACAGATCAGAAATGTTCTCACAGACAGAGAGAGTTTTGTTTTGGCGAGTTTGAAAAACAGGTGCCAAAACCCCCCTGTTGAAGTCTGAGAGGATATAAACAAGACAGTTGTTCCAACACATGTCTGCTTTGACTCCTGACCCTGGAACGCACACTTGCTCATTCAAAGACAGAAATCAGAAAATGCATAATTACTCTGTAACAGCTCTAACATGAATTCTAACTTTGCATGGGAAATAAAAATCATTATCACTGTTCTACAGTTAATAAAATTGATTAGTTCACTGCAACATCTAAAATGGTTTGAACTAAGACACTTTGATTATCAACATTTGTAAAATAGTAATGATAATAGAAAAGAGAGTGTTCTTCCACTTGAATTTTCAAGAAAGAAAGTCTCAGGATGGGTGAACCTGTATTTCTGGATTCAAATCAATGAAATGACAGTTCCTGTCCCACAAGGTTCTTAAGGTCAAGAGTTTTGACCTTAGGCTTAGTCTTGACATCAGGTTAAGTTCACTACAGAATCTAGCTGTTTTTTGTTTTGTTAGCTTTTCCTTTTAGCCATCCTATTTGTAAAAAAATAAAATAAATAAATAAAAAACTGTAGTATGACTTTTTATAACTGTTTATTGTTGTTGCTGTTGTCCATTGTTGTCATCTTTCTTTGTTAAATCAGGTCTCTCTTGTAAATGAGTCCTCGAGGCTCAATGGGATTTACCTGTAGAAATAAAGGTTGATTGATATGTGGCAAAATTGTTTATCCATCACCTTTCATCTCATTGTTTGGGGTGGTCCCTCCCTGTGGAGATGTCCTTTAGCAAATACGAGAAGGATGTGATTGCCTTTGGCTCTCTTCTGGACAGGAGGCTCATTCTGTGCAATTGGAAGGGCTCACATATGCCAGCGTATATACATTGGTTAAGGGAGGTCATGTAGCATAGCCATCTGGAAAAAATCAGATACACCCTGAAGGGTTTTGCAGGAAGATTCTGGGACACCTGGCAGCCTTTTTCTGTAATTTGTTGAGAACTTGTCAATGCCTGTATATATTATGTGTGTATGTGTGACTGGTCCATTGTGGGAAAGGATTTTGTTCTGTGTTCTTTTGTTTTGTTCTCATTCCTTTTTGTATGTTTGTGTTTAAAAAAAAAGCAACAAAAAAAAAAGAAAAGAAAAAAAGTGTTTTAAAAAAGTTCTATCTGCAACAGGTAAGATATTTATTGTTTATGACCAATTCAAAACATCTGAGTTTATATTTTTGTACATTTTTTAAGTGAGGCAATATTGTCCAACTTTAGTAAATTAATTAAAATAATTTAGTAAACTAATTTTAAAAATGATCAACTATCCTCTAGTTATATTAATATCAGGTCTCTCTTGTAAATGAGTCCCCGAGGCTCAATGGGATTAACTTGTCTAAATAAAGGTTGAATGAATGAATGAATAATCGTCTACAGTTACACCCAAATGAAACCTCCCAACGATGTCCAAATTAACTTTGTCTGACATTAAAATACTTTACTGCCAGGAACAGTTGAGCAACTTCTTGTTTAGGTTTAAGACCAAACTTGAGGTGTGAAAGAGTCCAAGTGATGACAGAAATGTTTCACAACTTTTCTAATGCAAAGTAAATTTGATTGTTTTTGTGGCCGCCTGCCAAAGAGAGAGCAAAGCCACATCCTCAAGCACTGACAGAACGAGCCAAAGAAATATAAATATTAGCCGAGCTGCTTCTGTGTCATCTCACATTTGAGTGGTGGCTCTGAAACTCGCTCCACAAGTCGTCTCCGGTGTTTTACTGACGGACGACTCCATTCCTGGGCTGAGGTTTCCCTTCTCTCACCCTGGGAGGAATAAAATGGCAGACGTTCTGTAATTGTCCTTGAGGCTGGACTTGACATTTCCACCGTGAGCTGAAGTGGAACAAATGGCACATTGGAGTAGAGTAAATGGAAATAATATCTGTGGTGTTTAGTAGCAGCCAGGGCCAACTCCATCCAGTTTAAGAATCAGGGATTTCCGAGTCTGCGTCAAGACTTTATTAGTAACGTTTGCAGAGACTTTGGCTGCTGTGCTGCAGCCGCCTCTGGTTTCAGGCCTGTCAGCTCTGCTCCCTGAAGGACTCCCCCCCTTTGTCAGCTGTAACATGTATGATTGAACACTGTTGAGCTTCTAACTTTCAGTGGGATGCCAAAGATTTATGAAGGTCAGGGAGCTCCGATGAGCCAAGAGAAGGTTTCTGTTCTCTGTGGTGAGCTGAAGGGACACGGGCTGGTTAAACTGTCAAGAGTCCTTCACCGTCTGCATTAATTTCCAATTAACAAGGAAGATGCTTTTGTGATTTCTTTGGTCAGGGGTGCCCTCGTTTCTTTCTAGAATGTTGTATACGATGGATTGAGGCAATGCTTTGGATCATTTGAGGAGGAGCTCTGTGGAAATGTGAACAAATCATATCTTACCTGTTGTAGATAGTCCTGTGAGCAATGCAAGTTTGGAGAAGTAGCTCGATTTGGACTGGATAGGTGAGCTAATGACTGAGGTCAACACAAAAAAGGATAAAGTGGTTTGCTACTGTCAGAAAACAGTGGCCCAGGCTGCACAGGAAGTGCTACAGTAAGCTCCTACTGCTACTATTCAACCCTCACAAATAATCCTCAGAGAAAACAAGCATGTAGGATAGAACTGACAACAGTGTAAAAGTTTGTAAAACAGTGTTTGCATGAACTGCTGCGAACATTGTGAATCAAAGTTGTTTTTCTTTGATCTTAAGGCCACAGGGCAGCTGTTAGCTCATACGTTCAGTCAGACCGGCTCTTATCCTCACTCACACTGACTGACGGTCAGTAACTTCAGTTAGGTCCTAACTGTTAGGACCACTGACGTATATTTAAACATGAATAAAACAACTCCATTAATCTTCATTAATCAAAAATTGAGACCAAAATGTCTGGTAAATGGGTGATGCCATGTTGTATGTTTAGAGCTAAAAGTTGTGCATGAAGGGTGAGGGGCTTGATCCGGTCCGGCCTGCACACTCTGCCAACTCAATAACTAGCCGTCACGCTGTCATTGACAGTATGACATCACTTTCTCAAGCCTTAAACTGATTTTTTTTTTGAAAATTCACATTTGAACAGCAAGGTATGAATCAAATGAACAAAAATTAACACCTGGAAAAAAAAAAACTCAAGTGTTATTTTAATTTTTCAGTCGCAGAAATGTCTCATTGGTTAAAATGGAGGGGTGGGGCTTAAGACTGGCCAACCTGGAATGAGGTGCTCATCCTATGTGGCTTCAACTTCCAGGTTCCAGTCCCGTCTCTAGTTAGAATTTATATCAGTGGTCAGAACTAATAAATCTTTGTACAACGGGAGGTCGTTCAAAGAGCTATCTGCCACAGGTAACATATAAATTGTTCATAACCCTTCTACAGAACCCTCTGAACAATCATTTTGAATTGCACCTATTCGCACACTTCAACATATCAGCTTTTTGTGTGACAAAACGAAAAATGCTCACAGTTCCATCTCTCTCACCCATGTGGTAGATGAAGTTGGTCTCCGTCTCAACGGACGATGCCAGAGAAACAACTTCTTGGTCACATTCGTTGGAGCTGAACGACCCAGAGCAGCTTGTCCTTTTGCAGGCTGAGGCAGCGTCGTCTGAGCTCGCTGCCATCATGTGCCGCAGCGTGTCCTTCAGATAGCGATTCAGTAAGCTGCTCTTGTATTTGGATGGAGGAGACATGTTGGGACAATCAGGACTGGCCTGGTGGGAACATGATATCCCGAGGTGCGACTGGATGATGGGAGTCTGCTGGGCGCACTCTTCCTCTGCAAGAACGTAAACAAAACTAGAGAAATTGCATTTCCTGCGAAAATGCAGTGTGAAGTATTGCTGAACAACTTGCTAAGAAATAGCTGAAATTAGCTGAAATGGAAGAAAAAGCCTAATTTAGCAAAAGAAAGCAGAAAGAACACAATTTTTCTGAAATTGGTTTAAATATTCATAAATTAGCAGAAAAATTTAGAAAAGTAGTAAAGAAAAAAGCAGAAAAAAAAATGCCTGAAAAGTAGCTGAAAGGCAGAAAGAAGCGTAAACTACCATAAGGAAGTGGAAAGAGCTGAAATGAGCTTAAAAAATGTGAAATTAGCTGAAAAGGCTAAAAAAGCATAGACAGCTAAATAGTAGCAGAAACAGCAGAAACTATAACAACCATAACAAGCCGAAATTAGCAGAAAGAAGCTAAGTACGCTGAAAGTAGCACAAATTACCATGAAAAATATGACGTTATCGGAAAACAGCCACAAATAAATAAAAATGCTTTAAGAAAGGTAGACTAGAGAACACGTGGGGGGGGGGGGGGGTCGCATAATGTGTCTGCTCAGAGGTTAGAGGTCGTAAAAATATTCATTTATTGTCTGGGTAACATCCATCCATCATCTTTTATCCGCTTCTTCCATTTTGGGTCACGGGGTTGCTGGTGCCCATGTCCAGCAATCACTGTGTGAGAGGTGGGGGACACCCTGGACAGGTCTCCAGTCCATCACAGGGACACATAGAGACAAACGAGACAAACAACCATTCACTCTCTCACCTAGAGACAATTTAAAGTTACTAATCAGACTAACATGCATGTTTTTGGTCTGTGGGAGGAAACTGGAGCACCTGGAGAAAACCCACACATGCACGAAGAGAACATGCAAACTCCACCCAGAAAGGCCCCCGGACCGGGATTTGAACCAGGGACCTGCTCACTGAGGGGCAGCAGCTCTACTGTGCTGCTGTCTGTGTACCAACTTTAGAAAATATGCTTTTATTTTAAATTACAATGTTTGAAATTTCACCAAATCCTGATTAACACAGAAGAACCCTCATGTTGGTTATGTTTGAAGAGTTTTCTACAATGTATTATGTTAAAACTAAAATCTGTACTGTCACTTTAAGAGCACTTTTTTATGATGTCACTTCTGTGCGTGCAGAAGAGAATAGATAACACATGGTTTTATTAAATATATAACAAACGTAAGCACATGCAGTTATGAATGTTTAAATGTGTAAAAACACACAGAGGAGTCATTTTTATAACAACATAAATACATTTTTCCCTGGTTTAGACCAGACATTATTATTACTATTATTGGTGAAAGTCAGGATTACTTTCAGAAGCAGTTGGTACTGTTGTCAGAAAAGTCCACTGACACCAGAGAGCCTTTAAAAGAGCAGGTATTGATTTACACAGAGCCACAAGAAATCTTTTGAGTGTTCACTTTTAATTGCTAAGACTAAAAGTCTGCACAATATTAGAGAACAACTTCTGAAACCTGCCTGCCTGAAAGTTGTGGAGTTGATGTGTGACAGGGCTCATACAGTGGATAAAGAGAAAACTGTCCTGCTCTCCAACACTGTCAAGGACAGAATAGATAAAGTAGCTGGAAATTGCAAAAATCAGCTGCATGACTGGATCAGGTAGATATCTTGTCAAAACTACAACTTTTATTTTTTAAGACTGTTTTAAAGATTACTCTGTTGTTAGTTAAAAAAAAAATTATTTGAGTAATTCTCAAAACAGTGTTCTTGGTATTTCTGTTGTACAACTACCAGTTTATACCTTTTACAAATAAAAGTTTGTAACTATTTACTTTATTCTATATTTAATTATACAGTATAACTACTACTACCTATATATTTACTTTTGTCTCTTATCACTTTGATAAAGAGATGAACCTGAATGAGTCTTTTGGGAGAGGAGTGAGGGATTGGGGGGTCTCAGATTGGCTAGGAAGTAAGAAGGGGGGTCTTTGAAGATAATAGGTTGGGAACCACTGATTAAAAGCACTGATTGTTCTTTGTAGAAATCTAGGCTATTTACATGGACACGATGGGGGAAACGTAGGTTTTTTCATATGTTAATTAGAGGAAAAGATCCACGTTGACACGGACAAATTTTGTGTTTACATGCATCCAGAGGAATCATCCCCCCACCGCCCTCCCGAATCCGCTGTAGTTACCATGCCAGGTCATTAGATGGTGCTGTGAATTTTGTACCTTCACCTAATGCGCATGCGTGCTGCCTCGGCACGCTCCTTTCCTGTGAGCTAAACGCTCAGCTAACAACAACTTAATAACAAGTTAAAGCTGGATTTTGACTGGATTTTGGATAAGAGTTGACAGATCCGACGCCAAGCAGGACCGCTTCATCTAACAGCTCCACACCGGTCGCTGAGTAGATCAGAACCGAGCCGACGATGTTGAACTTTACTCCATGATCATCAGTAGCGGATTTACAGCAGATACATCAAATGTTCTTAATAATGTTTGCTTGTGTTTACTTCGATTACAAAACAACCAACTGAGTTTTTATTTTTTCCTGAAAGAAGAAGAAGCTGTTCTTCCACCAGGCGGACCGGTTCTGAACGAGGCTCGGCCCAGGTGCAGTGCAGGAGGACGTTGAAAAGAGAGATATTGGATGAACTATTTATTTAAAATTCCCCTAATTTCTTTCATTCAATCCTTTAAATGTTTTAAGTTGCATTAATCAAAGGAATGACAGCCTGAACGAGCCAGATGAACAACGTGGGACATCCAGGATGATGTAGTGAACTAGACATCCTAAATCAATCTGTCTCTGAAGACCTTCAGGGGACAGGAACTGTTATTTCATTGATTTGAATCCAGAAACACAAATTATCTCATCAAGAGACTATTTAATTGTATCCTGAATTAATTAACTGAAAGAACACTCTCCTTTTTTTATATTATCATTACTATTTTACAATATCTTGATAATCAAAAGTGTGTTTAGTTCATACCATTTCTAATGTTGAAGTAAACCACTCATTTAAATCAACTGTGAAACCGTATTAATGATTTTTAAACCTCATTAGACTTAGATCATACAGTTAAATGTCTATTTATAAAGTAATTGTGCATTTTACTTTTCTGTCTGAATGAGGAGTGGATTTGATGTCGGTCAAAAGTCAGAGACAAGTTATGAGAACAAAGTGCCTTGTTTTAAAACTCTCAGACAGTAAATAAGAAAATTGTGCGACTACAAATCTGTCACTTTTTCAAATATTTTCCTGTCTGTACTAACCGTTCTTAAAACATTTCTGCTGTCTGCGACTCCTAATAACCCTCTGACATCACTAAAACTCCACCCCTGCTGGTTGTGTTAACCAATCAGGAAGTACCAAGTAACAGGAAGTGGATACCCTTAAAAGTCTTACTGGAACTTTCAGTTCTTACTGAAAGTCTGTTTGGAGTTCTTGCTGGAACTGCAGTCTTGCTAGAGTCTTATAGCTGAACTAAATAGCTGATGGAATTTGACCATGAGCCAAGGGTCCATCCATTTCAGCGGAGTCACAGCACGCCTCGCTGTGATCTCACCCCGAGCATTAAATGCTCTCAACTTCTAAGGAAGCTTATTCTGTTGAACGGAGTACCGTCACTACTTCGGACGATTCTCAGCCACCCTGACCAGAGACGCTGAAAGGTAGCGTTGAAATGGACCTCTGTACCACAGCTGATTTATCTTCTGCAAAGGTAACGAGTCGTCACGCACCGAGTGTACTGGGGCTCAGCTGGGGTCGGATGAAGGGTGCCATTCCTGGTCAACACACTTTCCTTCATCCATCTAAATCCTCCTCTTTAAAACCTCTAAATCTATCCTCTTGAAACCTCTTGTGAAGTGAAACGTTGTTTTCTAGTTGCTTAATCACTACTGTTGTCGATGTTGAGACATTGTTTAAATGGTTTGGTATTGTTTCTAAACACCCCCAGCAAGAATGAATTTTGTGTGTATTTTAGTTAGAGACTATGAGGACTTTAACTATGCCAACATGCAGTTCATTTGTTAAACTTCAATCTTTGTCAGAGTCAGAGTCAGAGTCAGAGTTTCTTTATTGTCATTCGCACCTCATGTGGTACATGTGGTGGAGCGAAATTATGTACACAAGGTCCCAGTTACATCCAACAATAAAATGTATAAGAAAAACAGTAATAACATCTAAGATATGAACCAAGAAAAACATCAACTAAATATATACTAAGCACTCATAACATAAAAACATTGAACATCAGCACAAACATGAACATGAGTCTGTGAGCAGATGTGCGCACATGAACACATCAACATTGAAACAGATCAGCAGCAACATGAAACAGATCAGCAGCAACATGATATGGTTTTTCACAGTGATTATTCTAGTTAGAGATTCATGAGTCTAACAGCCTCAGGGTAGAAGCTGTTCCTCAGTCTAGTGGTTCTACACTTAATGCTCCTTAACCTCCTTCCTGAGGGGAGTGGGGCAAAAAGTGTGTGTGCTGGGTGAGTGGGGTCCTTCATGATGCAGGTGGCCCTCTTCCTGCATCTGGAGGTGTAGATGTCTGTGATGGTGGGGAGGCTGATTCCAACAGATTTCTGTGCAGCCTTCACCACTCTCTGCAAAGCTTTTCTTTCTGCAGCTGTGCAGCCTCCATGCCACACATTGATGCTCGAGCACAGGATGCTCTCCACTGCACACCTGTAGAAGGAGGTGAGGACTGAGCTTCCCAGACCAGCTCGCCTCAGCCGTCTGAGGAAGTAGAGTCTCTGATGAGCTTTCTTGATCAGGCTGGTGGTGTTGTTGCTCCAGCTGAGGTTGTCATTCATGTGTACACCCAAGTACTTGTAGCTGGAGACCACTTCCACCGCAGATCCTCTTATGTTCAGGGGGGTGTAGATGTTTTTGTTCCTTCTGAAGTCCACAATCATCTCCTTTGTCTTCTTCACATTGATGTGAAGGTTATTCTCTTTGCACCAGCTCTCCAGGTGTTCCACCTCTTGCCTGTA